CTTCATCAAAATATTTGAAATCCTGTTCTGTCGTTTATTAGGGAATGCTTTTGTCAGTATACATGTCCCTTTATTTTTGTTCTATTTTACATAATAAATACTTTTAACTACAACCTACCAAATCCTAGACAGTTCATTACTTAAAGTCAGAACACCCACCCACCCCCGCCAAGTTATAACATTTCAGACAGTACTTATGTGACGTATATGGTTTCATGCACTGTCCATATTTTATTTTGACTTATCGAATAGTTATTGTATTATGATATTGTGCAATTTTGTTACATAATCATTATTTGTAATTAATGAATATTTATTTTTTTATTGTATGATTATCTATTTTTATGTACAGATAATTGAATGTAGCTATACTACTAAACAAATATCAATTTTGTCTATTAACATCTATACACACATACAAATAACTTACAAATTAAATGCAGATGTAGAATAAATAATTAATATATTATATAATTCAATAGAAGTAACTAAAATATAATAACTATTTAAAATGTTTTACTAACAACATAACTAAGTGAGCATTTTTGCTTTATAATCACTCTTATGGTATGGTACAGATAGGGTATATATACTAATATATCGTATGTCAACATATAAAGATCATAGAATAGATATAATTATGGAATGCACCACCTGCATATTCCTTGCAGACACAGAATAAATAACAACATATTATAGTAATTATCAATACAATAAATTAACTAATTCAAAAATATAATTATTAATACTACACTACTAGATCTATTTACACATTTCAATAAAAATTTAAAAATTTAATTATTGATATTATATATTAAAACAGAATGAAAGGATTGGAAATAATAAAAGAATGAATACATTAATAACAAGATAATGTGAGCTTACAAACCCTCGCCCTTGCGCCATATCTTTGTATATAGTCGATGCACTCGATCTGCTGGTTGTTGTATAATAGGCGAGTATTATTGCCAGTTATACATATTAGGTGAAATGACGCCGAGAGCAGTAATGATGCACGTCTTAAGTGTATAGTTAATCGAATGTATGGGGTCCAAATCTCCCTCTTTTTTGTTTTATATTATTTTATTCTTTTTATTATTTGTTCATCTATAGAATACTTTTTTCATATTTTATTATCTTTTACAATTATATTTAATTTTAAGTCATATAAGCTAAAAAAAAATCAAAAGGACGTAGGACTATAAAACCCCAAATTGAAATCCAATGGACTTAACCTCAAGAAGACGCCCAATTTCGAATTCAAGCCCACCTCTTCAGTTTGCAAAATTACAATTAAAAAAAATCGCATCTTATAAAAGAAGATTATGGGCTTCTTTTGAAGATAGCATAAGCTTCTTTCCGAAATAGTACAGTATACATACTCTACATGAATTTTACAAGAAATAAATAAATTATGTGCCTGATTTATACAGTAGTATAGTTAATACACTACATGATACAGATTGATGTTACAGTGACCCTATTTATTGTTTTTAGTACATATTCCCAAACAGTATTCATTTTGAAAAGAAGCCCACTCTTTACTTTGCAGAATTGGACTCGAAAAGAAGACCATCCAAAGTTCACAAAAAAAAAAAAAAAAAACAAAAGCCTAGTGCTTAAATTCGAGATTTTACGGTAGCACTCTTATGGTATCTGCTATAAATACTGGAGATCAAGTACGGTATATTAATATTATAGAGCTTATAATATAGCCCTGCTAAAAAAAGGTGTGATTTAGAATCACCTTCACAATTAAAAAAAAAACAGGGACTTAGCAGGAGCATCAGTAAAGCATGTCTGTTCTCGACGACAGCAGCAGCAGCAGACAGATGTCTATGCATATAGCTTCTGCATATGAAAGTCTGTATATATGAATATATATATATACACATATATATGAATATATATATATATATACACACATATACATATATATATTTTCAACCCGGATCATTCGAGCATACCAACTCCCAGAGATATATTACACCCACCACTATGTATTACAAAACTTCAAAGCAAATATACAGAAATCAACAATGCAATGCCTTCAATGGAAGAAATTGACCAAGCTGTAAAACATCTGAAATCTGGTAAGTCTTCCCTCGATATCGAAGCAGAACTCTTAAAGGTAGGTATTTTGGTTCCTACATTCAAGGAGAAAATAAAAACCTATTTTGGATTGATCTGGATCAACAAGAAAACACCTCAGGAGTGGAACAAAAACAAAATCACTGCAATCTGGAAGAAAAAGGGATCCCAACAAGATGCAACACAATACCGAGGTATCTCAATTGGGCCACTTTTTGCCAAGGTAGCCATGAGCATCATACTGTCTAGGCTAGACGAGTTCTATGAAACCCAAGTAATGGAAACTCAGTTTGGCTTCAGACGGGAAAGAGGATGCAATGATGGCATTTATGTAATGAAACAACTACAAGAAATAGCAAATCTTAGTCAGGGAAGGCTATTCACCTGCTATGTCGACCTCTCTGCTGCTTTCGACCATGTCAATCGAAGTTTTTTGTTTCAATCGATTAGGAACAGGATCCCGTCCGGCGAGCAGACAGATAACATAGACGTTATTGAAGGTTTGTATGCTCACACAGAAGCGTATTTAGCTAACAACGACCAATGTAAGGACTCATTCAATATATCTTCTGGAGTTAGACAGGGGGGAAACGAGGGGCCCATGCTCTTTAATCTGTATGTAGACTACACACTAAGAATCTTCAAACAGCGCTGCAAAGAAGCTGGAACAGATACTTTATCTATAACATATCGAATTCCGAATGAAGCCACCAACAGAGAACAACGTAGACGAGAGCCAATGAACGGCACATTTGATGATTCTGAAGGTGGGTATGCAGACGATATTGGCATACATAGTTGGTCAAAAGATGGGCTTCAGTCTATAGTGAACATCTTATTCGAAGTTCTTACAGAATTCGGTCTTACCATGAACGTTAACAAAACGGAAACCATGGTTTGGAACTGGTCATTGGAAAGATACGGTCCATACCCTAGTCATCTAATCAAAGTAAACGACATATGGATCATCAACTCTAAGATATTTAAATACATTGGTGTATGGAACACCTACGATGATATACATATTGGGAATAGGGAGATGGATCATAGGATCAGCAGTGCTAGAGCATCCTTTGCAAAGCACCACAAGATGCTATGCAACAAGAGCATTGCACTGTCAACCAGAGTCACCTTCCTCAACGGCCTCATTAGATCAAGACTGACCTACGGGTGTCACTCATGGAGACCACTCCAAAGTGAACTTAACAAGCTCAACTCTACATATAACTACTTTCTAAGGTCTATAATAGTTAAAGGGTTCGAAAGACAAAGGTCTCCAGTAGTAGCATGTCGTGTGCCCACTATCGATGAAGAGGAAGAAGAACAAGTGGAGGAAGAACCTGACGACGATGCCGACTGGTCATTTAAAATAAACAACAAGAAACTTTTCTCAATTGTAAAGACCATTTCTATACAAGACTTTTACAACCAACAACAAGTAAACTGGATCGCTCATGTTATAAGACGTGAAAACTCAAATCCATGTAAAAAGCTTACATTTCATTGGACAAAAGTAAGTAAACGTGGTAGAAAAACCACATCAATTATTATAGTGGACTCTAAAGAAATCAATTCATCAGAGACTGTTTTCTAAAACGTAAGTATTAATAGATATAATAGATATGTCTAGCTATAACTTCTTTTATTTTTCTTCTCTCCAAGTTGGACTTGAGTTGCTTGTGAAGGATGTGAAGGAATATGAAATAAGAGAATTAAGGCAAAGGTACTAAGGTATTAAGGTACTAACACCAAAGAAATGAAAAGAAAAAGAAAGAAAGAATTAAAGAAAGAATGTCAGAGAAAGACAGAAAAGAAGGTAAAGGAAAGAAAGAAAAGAAACTAAGAAAGAAAGAAAACGAAAGTAAAGATGAGAATACGAAGAAAAAAAAAATGAACGAGAAAATAAAAAGTTACTAACACCACAGAAATGAAAAGAAAAAGAAAGAAGGAAAGAAAAGAAAGTCAAAGAAAGAAAGAAAAGAAGGTAAAGGAAAGAAAGAA